GAAATTCTGGAGCAGCTTCAAACTAGTTAGAGCACAGACTACTTTAGCGAATTAAATACAAACTGCTCAAGCAGGGCAGAAATCCCTTAGATATGTCTGGCATTCCCCCTCAAAGGACCAAAACTAGTCCCTGGAAAACAGAGACAGAACCCCAGAAAGAGATCAGTCCCCACATACTTGGTGCTTCTTTTCTGCTTCCTCTTTGGCTTTCTTGGCACTCATCTCCTTTCGGAGTCGTTCCTCTTCCGCCAGCCGAAGTTTCTCTGCTTCCAGGCGTCGATGATACTGGGGGAATAAACACAAGAGCCCTTCTGAATAGGCATCTACTTATTTTTGAAATTCTATTTTGCTCTTTAAAAACCTATCCCACAAGCACGTGATGCTGAAGGATGTTTCTTTCCCCTCTCCCCACCTCCGTTTCCCAAAACCAACCTCTCATCCGTGGTACTTACTTCCCCCCGGAGGCGCTTATACAGCCTTCGGGCGATCATGCCCCGGGCGTACGCCTGGATGGTGAGGACAGCCCAGAGGCGGTGGCGGAAAGCCCTACGGACCAGGTAGCCCCGGCATTGTGCCTGAAATTCGATGATCCGCCGGCGAGCCATGTGGTACTGCTTGTGGAGCTTGCGGGATCGGTAGAGGGCCTGCAGTCTCAGGAAGCCGATCCGCATCTGCAAGCAGAAGCAGAATGAAACCACCCCACCACCCAGGGGCTTGTCCACCCTAAGCATATTTCCATCGTTAATCTCCTTCTTGCACGGCTGTAAATAAGAGCCACTGAAATCAGCCCCCACCAGGACAAGCCTTCGGGAGCGAGGTTCTCCAAGAGGGTGGAGAAATTAAGCCCTCTGGCTGCTGCATTGATTCAAAGCCCAGGAAGGACAAAGGCAGTTTCTTCCCCACTGAGTCTTACAGAGTTTCTGCCCTTGAGAGGCCTCAGGAGGTCTGGTTGGTCATCTGAAGGTAGCCCCAAGCCATGAGGGTTGCTTCCATGGAGGTCCAGCACCTGCAGACCTCCTGCTTGACAGTTAAGGTGCTGTTTCATGGCAGGAGGCAGCATCCTGACCAGCCTGGAAGTGGCTATTCCTATCAAGTTGCAGGCTTGGAAGATGATATTGAGCCACTTTAGACCCCAACACACTTCCCAAGTGACCTGCTATTGGGTCAGAGCCAGCTGGGACAGGGGGAGAAGAGGGCCACGGACTGGGTTGGGCAGAAACCCACATACGGTCCCACCCAGAGATGGAGTCTGTTTTTCAGAGGAAGCTGCTCTTGAGCTTTCAGTCACCTGGAAACTAGGGGAAGACTTTTAAAACCCCAAGTGACCAGTTGGTGCAATGGACATCTAACTCACGCGGAAAAGGACAGCTAGAAGGTGGTCAGGTGCTCTCTTCAATGAGAAGGCAAAGCAGCAAGAGCAAACCTCCATTCATCGTTCCAACTGATAAAAGCCAACCCCACCCCCTCCTACACTCAGTGGGGCATTTTGAGCCAGGAAACTCTTATGTATGTCCCAGCTGAAAGAGGTAGGAAGGCAGAGGTGTGAGGAAGCACCCCTGTACTTACAGCACTGTAGTTCTTCCTGCAGTTATGTCCACGCCAGTATCTCTGAATCATCAGGACTGAATTTCTCACTTTCAGGAAATTGGACCTGCAAAGGCATTTCAATCACTTGCCTCTGCGGTTTGGCCGCAAGTTATCGTCATCTCCTGCGCCTCATTCTTTGGAGATTTGAAACTGAGCAGCCAGGTGGAGTAAACACTGCATTTTTGGCCTGAAAAAACCTCCTGCCCCAGCTCTCCTTGCTTTCATAAAAAGATCTGTAGGGGCTCTCTCTGATAGGTCTCTGCAGGTAGATTCTGCCAGGTTATGGGAATGGGCAGAGCAGGAGATGCTGAGAATGGTCCCCTCCTTCCCCCCACCCTGTACCTTCCTCTCACATCTGAAATCTCTTCCCTGCCTGCTCTCCCCACTTCAATCCTAGCACCTGAGAATGGATTCAATCTCACCCAAATGATCAAGAGCAAACTTCAGCAACACCACCTGGCTACCCACATCTGCTCCTCCCATCCTTCTTAGCCTGGCCTGATTCTACCTGTAGACACCTCGGAGAGAATCATGTTGGAAGGGCTTGGGGGTCTTGCTAGGATTACTGTGGGAAAGATTGCTGAGTTATTTAGCATGTGCCCTTTCTGCAAAGCGTAAGGCACAACCCGAGTCACAGCCATGGCTCGGACAGTCAAAGAGCACAAAGCCCCAAAAGCTGTCCCTCCTCCGTGGGTGAAGCTTGTCCTTGTTTGTGGCTCCCCCTCTTCCACAACTGTGCCATGACCTCCCCATGGGCTACCTGCCCTCCTCCCAAGTCTGGCAACTGGGTTGCAAAGGGAAGAGTCCTGAACCCCTTGAGCTTTGGGGAGAGCAACGTTAGTCACAGTAGATGACCCAGTGGTCCCATTGCATTCTTGTGGGGATCCCCATAGACTGGAGGCTTAGCGTTGCCTTCAGCGGGCTCAGAGTCCCACTGCTGCATTGTCATAGCAAACATCAGCTCCCCTGAAGACAGCACTGAACAGGGACAGAAGGTCCTATTCTGTCCATGTTTGAGGCAGATAACACAGTTTTCCTCATTTCCTCTACTGTTTTCCTCCAATACTTGCTGCACCTGAGTGCCAACACATCAGGGCACCCCTCTTCCCAGCTGCAG